GAGAGAGAGAGAGAGAGAGAGAGAGAGAGAGAGAGAGAGAGAGAGTGAAGCGCGATCGGAAGAGGAGAAGTCGGGTACTTACCGGTGATGTGTTGCTGCAGTCCAGACCGCCCAGTGCCGAACTTTTTCAATTGTATATTATTGTCATTTGAGTGGAACTTCGAGTTGGCACTGTTCATGGCCATCACTTAAGCTTGTGTGAGCTTTATCTGAATGCTCTCAATTTGCATGATGTATTTTGAGTTGAATCTTGCAAGGTTCATTGCACTGGTATCGGATCTGGAACCCATTGCACTGCGGTGGTGGATGAAGGCCGGCAATGCATAAGGCCGGCGGGTATGTGTATGTCCGGGTTTCACTGTAGCAGGCAGGAAGAAGGAAAAAGGTGCTGAATGAAGATTGGAGCGGGGTCAACTACCTGCAGCAGACCCAGATCGGCAGGGAACGGCATCATGAAGACCCAAGTGAAGTACTTTATGCTCTTAGCCCTGCCTGTTGGAGCTTTTGTTATTTTTTTGTGAAATTTCCACGCATTTTCTTGGTGACGGCTGTTGCAGGTCAATCAATGCAGACGTAACACCGTCAAGTTTGAGTCAAGCCCCGAGTCAGTGAAGAGAAGTGTTCAGATTTGGGAGTAGAGGGCTAGAATGGCCGTGGTCAATAGATCCGGTAAGTCACGGAGTCATACACTGCAGAGGAACAGGCGGAGATAAACCGATGGTTGAAGGAGAAACAGGAGAAAGCAAAGAAGAGAGCGGAGGAGCTAGAAAGAAGATGGAGGTGGAAGAAGAAGCTGCAGGAAGAAATGGCAAAACAGCCGGCGGAGAAGATGCTGAGGCAGCTGGAGGAGGACACGAAAGAGATTGAAGAAGAGGAGAAATTTGAACTGCATGTGCAAGCAGGGCAGGAAGGAATGGTATAGTACGTGCTCCCAGGGAAGACGAGGTGCAATGACTTGCTGATTTCTGCTGCCGAGATCTGACTGCGAGGTTGTATAGTTGCGTCTTAGGGTCAGATTTGTAATTTTGTTTGTGTCAGGGACTAACCGCCGGTCCAGTCCTGAGGGAAATTCGTGAGATATCTGCAATTTACAGAAAATTGCAGGCCCGAGTTCCCCTTAGCCGTTACTGCCCTTAGCAGACCCGGGCTATCACTAGGACAGCAGGCCCATCTGGGCCTTGGGCTGTAGAGACGGTCTAGACACCGTATAGCCGGGTAGGGCCCAGGCCGAGCAGGCCAAACTGATGCGGTACCGGTCCAGTAGGTCTAGGTTTAGAGTAGGCCAGCCTATTAATAGGACTGAGCCTGTAGTTTAGGGACTTTTGGCTTTCATTCGCGGGACGCAGCGTTCGGAGCCAAGCAAGTTTGGTGGAGGCGATTGTCTACAGGCCTGGGCCCTACCCGGCTATACGGCGTCTAGACCCTGAGACCCTCGTCGTGGACAGCAGCCATAGCCAGCCTACTGGAGCTTGCCATAGCTGGGGCATCCTCTGAGCATCTACCCCTGAGGGTATCTGCGATTGGCTGGGCTATTGAGAGGCTCTTCACTGAGTGTTTGTGGGTGAACCACTGTCGGCCATCTCGCGTCTGGAGATATTGGGACTGGGTTAGTGGTGCGGCAGCCATAGCTGCTTGTTTCCTCGGCAGAGTGTTCATCGGCACTGAAGACTTCATCCCTGGACCTGTTCTTCATCTGGGCGGTTGGCGCTGGCCTCTGGGAGGCCTTCTCAGTGTTGCGCTACCAACTGGGTGTAGGGTAGAGAGTGGAGTGTGGAGTTCTGAGCGTGGCGAGATACTGAAACAAACTCTGTAACGATAATTGGTTCGAGTTGGCTCATCATCAGTGTAAATCCTATTGTTATCCTCGCAGGTGTCTTCTTGTGATTGGTTGTTGGGAGTATTGTCAGAGAGTGAGAAATACTGTGTGTCTCTCCCCATCTGTGCATGGTTGTGTTTCGCTGCTTATTTTGATCTGTGTGCAGTTTGGGCTCTGTCTCCTCTCCCCCTCATCTTATGCATGTATGGGCGCGTATGAGATTGTCTGTGTGTGAGTGGCGGTGAGAATCGTCAGACAACCAAGTTCATAACAGAGGGGGGAATGCAGTTATGAGACGACTCTGCAATTGGAGCAAGAAGGGCTGCAGCTTGGGCCGCATGTTTTGAATTTGGGGAGGAGCAGCCTGAGGATGAAACCTGGAAAGAAATAGAGTTGTTTAACGAGAAGCTGAAGGAGATTGCGGACGAGGAGAAAAAAGCAATAATGATAGAAGAGAGAGAGGTGCAGATTAAATTGAGGCTGGCTGCACAGAAAAGGAT